TAATTCTTTGAAATCTTCTTCTCTGCTCCTGGATATTATTTAAACAAACTAATGCATGGTTATGACAAGCAATGATGCCTTTTTTCAAAATTGTGAAATTCATGGCCCCTGGGTCAGAGGTTCTGGTTTGGGGGGGGGGGGGGGGGGCTCTATTGATTATATAGCGAAAAATGCATTAATTCTTTAAAAATCTTCTTCTCTGCTCCTGGGTATTAATTAAACAAACTAAGTGCATGGTTATGGCAAGCATTGATGCCTTTTCCAAAATTGTGAAATTCATGGCCCCTGAGTCAGGGGTTCTGGTGTTTTGGGGGGGGGGGGGGGCTTTATTGATTATATAGTGAAAATGCATTAATTCTTTGAAAATCTTCTTGTCTGCTCCTGGGTATTATTTAAACAAACTAAGTGCATGGTTATGACAAGCATTGATGCCTTTTCCAAAATTGTGAAATTCATGGCCCCTGGGTCAGGGGTTCTGGTGTTTGGGGGGTGGGGTTTGGGGTCTATTGATTATATAGTGAAAATGCATTAATTCTTTAAAAATCTTCTATTTGTGCCTGGATATTATTTAAACTAAGTGCATGGTAGGACAAGTAACGATGCCTTTTTCCAAAATTGTGAAATTCATGGCCCCTCGGTCAGGGGTTCTGGTGTTGGGGGGGGGGAGGGGGGCTCTATTGATTATATAGTGAAAATGCATTAATTCTTCAAAAATCTTCTTCTCTGCTCCTGGATATTATTTAAACAAACTAAGTGCATGGTAGGACAAGTAATGATGCCTTTTTAAAAAATTGTGAAATTCATGGCCCCTCGGTCAAGGGTTCTGGTGTTGGGGGGGGGGGGGGGGGGCTCTATTGATTATATAGTGAAAATGAATTAATTCTTTGAAAATCTTCTTCTCTGCTTCTGGGTATTATTTAAACAAACTAAGTACATGGTATAAGTGCACAAGGTTGCTTTTTCAAAAATTGTGAAATTCATGGCCCCTGGGTCAGGGGTTCTGGTGTTTGGGGGGGGGGGGGGGGGGCTCTAATGATTACATTGTAAAAAATGCAATGATTCTTTGAAAATCTTCTCCTTTTCTCCTGGGTATTAAGCCAATGAGCAAAGAATATAGTTATGATGAGTAAGAGTGCCTCTTCCAAAATTGTGAATTTTATGCTCCCTGGGTCAAGGTTCTGGTGTTAGGGCAGGGTCCTGGTGTTAGGGCAGGGCTCAAGGCAAAGTTGATACATGATACTCAGGTGACCTATAAGACCCGTGGGCCTCTTGTTTAGGGTTGACCAATTAAGTTCAAATTTGGTATGTTGGCTGAATAGGAAGTAAGACATATTTTGATGCTAAATTTGGTTCTCTGTGTCATCCGGTTTGGAGCTGGGGTGGTAGGGTAATTCCTCAACTTTTTATAAGAGTGAATAGTCAAAGAGAGATAACTTCTGAGAATGTTCCTATTGTAAACTATGAAAGGCTGCAATGAGTCTCTTGGGATTAATTAACTTTCCTCTTGAAGAAAATCCAAAGTATTTATCTTTATCTGTCTTATTGAGATGAATTAACACCTCTGTCTGCAAATGAAGTTTGTTCTGAGGGTCAATTCTGAATGATGTTTACATTTTCTGAAATGTGGATTTAATAGCGATTCTCTGTAACCACTTAAACTTCTTTGCCACGCATGGTCACCGATTTTGATGAAACTTTGCTCATTATTACAACTTGACACCAGAAACATATATCAAATAAAATTTCGTTGCTATGGGTCTTGTTTGCCATGGTAACAACCAGAAAAGTTGGAAAAATTGAGATTTTCAGCTACTTTGAATCTTTATTAAGCCTTGATAAAGACTAACAAAAACAAACAAACCATTCTCACAAAAACCTGACACTTTGTTGCCACTTATGCTATAAAGAAACTATTTAGAATTTATCTCTAAGTAAATGGTAACCATGGGTACATTTGGAATACTTTTTAGATGCTGAATAATGCAGAAAAACGCTCAATATTCACTAATGTTAGGTGTTAAATGATCAAACTCAATCAACAACCTAAGAAAAAACAATAAAAATATTTGACCTTAAGTAATTAAGTATTGGAAATATCACTCTAAAAATAACTTTCATGGTTGCCATGGTAACACAGTGTAACCATACAAAATATGTTGCTAAGATTGGGTTAATGCTACTATCTTCAGGAAAAACAATAAAATTCATGACTGGCACATATACATCCTTAGGACCTTGCAACACCGACAACATAAGAAAAATTGGGATTTATTGTTACTTTGCAGTGTAACCATGGAAACAATGTACCAGTTGTTTAAAGTGATATTTTTTTTGCTGCCATAGGAATTTACTTACTTTTTATTCAAGAAACATATTATTTGACTCACCTTGAATAGTACTTATCTGGAAGAACTAAAGTTGAATATCATATATTGATGACGTTTGTTGAAAAATACAACACTGTTGCTATGGTAACCAAGAAGGGAAAATGTTCGATTTTGTTAATTTTATATCAATATTAAACCATATGTGCCAGCTTTTTGCATCCAGTTAGAGATTGGGTGGCAGTCAAAATTGAAAGTCAGGTTAGTTGTTCATAATTATCAATCATAAAAGTTTTGGGAATCTACATACAAGGGTATGTATCCAAGGAAACAGAATATTTTTAAGATTTTTATGCATATTTTTTCGGCTTATTTCCATAGCAACGCACTATTTAAAGAATTGAATTTGAATTTTTTGAAATGTGAAAATTAGGGTCACATGAACGTCTTTAAAAATTGATCATTAGTTATACAAAAATATGCTTTTTAAAAAGATAGGATAAGATTTAAACACTAAGAGAGTAAATTTAAAATCCCTTCTTGGTATTAAAACCATGGCAACCATTGCCATCCTATAAGAAATATCATATTTCTTCCTTGGTATATGTTGCAAGGATCTTTTGTCTATTATTTGCTTGCATTTCAACCTATAATTTTTTTTTATTCTTAAGTGTATGATTTTATAAAATTAAATGGGCAAAATTATTACTTTAGAATACTTTGTTTCCATAGTAACGAATGTAATAGTTGATTTACCAAACATGTTTATCATGCATTTAAGACATCAGGCCTTCATCTTTCAGAAACAATCATTGCCACTTGTTTGCTTTGCTGCAAACGTTAACTGTGGGACTCTGAACATGTTGAAAAATGCCATTTTTCAAACTTTAGGACATGTTGCCATGGTAACCATGTCACGTAGCAACCATTTTCTACCTGATTTGAGTTTACATTATCAAAGACTTTGGAGAAATTCTGAGACTATGCGTGCCACAGCTCCTATATAAAAGTTCAAGTTGTTACAGAGAATGGCTCTTAAATAAATAAATGTTCATATTTTATTTTGTTAAAATACACAATGAGTTATGATTTTATTGAATTCTAAAAATAAAATATAGATAAAGATATGTTCTTTATTATTATTTTATTTTTTATTTTTTCTGTCTTTTTTTCTGCCTTATGTAATTCAAGAATACTATTTTTTTAACAGGTATTCAGATAATAACCTCATTCTATCATTGTTGAAAAAGTAAAAAAAAATTCTTATTGTAAACGTAGAAGAAAAGGATGAGAGAGCAGTATAATTAATCCCCTGGGATTGATTATCTTCCTGCTTCCAAAACATTTTAGAGGGTTATCTTTCTGTCATTTTAAGATTAATTAACACCTTTGTATGCAGCTGATGTTTGTTTTGAAGTTAAGGTCAAGCTTGGGTGGTATTTGCATTCACTGAAGGCTAACATTTTAGAAAACACATGCTTCATTCTTCTTTAAATATACATTTAATTGATTTATTTTTTTTACTGCCTTTTGTAAATACAAGGATAATATTTACAGGTTGTTGGATATCTAGCAATTGCTTATTCTTCTTTATATATTTTTAAATTTTTGTTATCAAGTAAAATTCTCATCCCCTAATCTGCACCCTTATACTTGTATTTCTACCCCTCGGCGGGGCCCTTGCTGACTGGTCAGATTTCTAGTTGAGTATTAAACTATGAGAAAGTGAGGTGGAACTTTTTTTTCGGATTAGTCTCCACATTACCAACTTTTTATTTTATCAAAAATACCATATTTGGAATGCGGCTACCTCAAAACGGATGCGCATGGGCCTGAGAGCTGTAATTTCAATTTTATGTAGCCTTATTATGCTGATACACATTAGTGAGAGCTATTCAACTGCATCAAAATCTTTTGACCTTGCACTTTCCTGTGACCTTGACCTCACTTTTCTTTAATTTGCACTTTGCTTAGTTTTAAAGAAACCATTTAAGATATTTTTATGTAAGCTTATGCACATATACATAATTTGGTGTGAATTTATTATCTATATCCAATTTTTTAGATTTCAATTTTAAAGAAGTTATTTAAGATATTCTCATCAAATTTCATACACTATTACAAATTTTCATGTTGCATTACTTATATACACTTGGCGGGGCATTCATGTCCATATGGACATATTTCTAGTTCTGATAGAAATGTATATTGTTATCTAGTTTAAGTTATTTTATAAATAAAACAATAAATTGAACACTATAAGTGACTGAAATTCTTTTTGTATTCAGAATCCCTCAGTAGCATTCATTTAAATATGGGGTACATTATTCTGTTTTCCTTCATTGTAAATACTGTCTACTTCTAAGAACTTTGTTTACTGCTTGTTAGGAGATTTGATTATTTATGAATTTAAATATTAGTAGCATGACAGATCTTGATCAAGATATGTATGTTTCATAGCAACTGCCTTCCTGTAGCATTGCTTTACAGTTATCTCTGAAAATCAAAATTTACTGATGGATATTTCTGAAAATAATTTTTGAAAATATGTATTTCATGATTAAAGAAATGGGGGGGGGGGGGGGGGGTTATAGCTGCATGGCAGTGTACATATACAGGTTAAATTGACAAGGACAGTGGCAGAATGTAAAATGATTTTTTTTTTTTTTTTGAAAGATTTTGAAGATAAAAAACAGAAGAAGAGAATCAAGAAAAGTTTGCATCATCTTGAATCACAACTGATAGAGAACAGGCGTATTGAGAATGAAAGAGGTATGTTTTATATGTATCAGAAATTGTATGTAACATTTTGTAGTGGTTCAGTGTAATTAGGGGAACACAGGCAAAAGCAAATGCTCAACTTAATCAGATGACTGTAAGGCCAAAAATATTAATATTTAGTTATTGGGGCACAGCTGCATTAAGTCTAACACTGTCCCGTAATCAATTTTACTATTTTTAGAAAACAGATAGCAATAGGTCACCTGAGTGACTCAGGTGACCTATTGCTATCTGTTTTCGTCCGTGGTTGTGCGTTGTCCGTCTTGTGTTAACATTTGAACATTTTCAGTTTCTTCTCTGAAACCTCTGAACCAATTTCAGCCAATTTAAGCATATGGCATTTATGTGTGAAGGGTAACAAAATTTATGAATTTCATGGTCTCTGCCCCCCTGGGGCCTGAGGGGCTAAAACCACCAAAATTAATGCAATCTTTAAAAATCTTCTTCTTTACTCCTGGACATCAAGCAGTCAAACTGTTGGCACGATTGTAATAAGCATTGAGCCTTCTAACAAAATTGTGAAATTCATGGCCCCAGGGTCAGGGGTTCTGGTGCTAGGGCGGGGCTATATAGATTATATAGTGAATGTGTATATTTCTTTGAAAATCTTCTCTACTCCTGGGTATTATTGAAACAAATTGAATACATAGTTATGATAAGCAAGGGTGACTCTACCAAAATTGTGAAATTCATAGCCCCAGGGTCAGGGGTTCTGGTGCTAGGGCGGGGCTATATAGTTCATATAGTGAAAGTGCATTATTTCTTTGAAAATATTCTTCTTTACTCCTGGGTATTATTGAAACAAATTGAATACATACATGTAGTTATGATAAGCAAGGGTGACTCAACCAAAATCGTGAAATTCATATCCCCAGGGTCAGGGGTTCTGGTGCTAAGGCGGGGCTATATAGATCATATAGTGAAAGTGCATTATTTCTTTGAAAATCTTCTTCTCTACTCCTGGGTATTATTTAAACAAACTAAATACATAGTTATGATAAGCAAGGATGCCTCTTCCAAAATCGTGAATTTCATGGCCCCTGTATCAGAGGTTCTGATGTTAGGGCAGGGTTCTATTTATTATATACCGTATAACAGGTATTTTCTGCGGTTGGAAATTTTTGCGATTTAACCCCTAAAAGATAGCAAATTAATTTCTGCGTTTTCAATTTCTGCGGTTGCATTATACCGCAAAAAATTATTTACTGGGTATGATCACCAATCTCTAAGAATTATTAGATAGCTGCCATGTTTACGTTTTATAAATTCATTGAGACATATTGATCAAAGTTGCATGAGAACTGGTATTAAGCTATTAAGCTTAATTAAACTACTATCTTTCAGTTAGTCTTTGTAAAATTATGTCGAGTCCCAATTGAAATGAATTATTGCAGTATCGGTCCACCCAAACAACAATAAAAAAATCTCTATTCTACATTGTAACAAACGTTTTATGCGATCTATTAAAATATTTAATATATAGATAATTAATGCATCCAAGCCATATTCTAAAAAATACACTTATAGATAATTGCCATCAAAATTAATCTGGTGTTTATATTTTAAGCTCAAACAAACAGTTGCATAATCAAATAACCTAAAGTTGACCGTGTACAATCACAGGTGCCATGTGCATTGAGGCGTAGCTAATCCTGTCAGTCGTCTGCATTGTGTGAAATTCACGAGACAATCAAGCCACTTTGTGTATACAAGCAGTAATTATGGTCTCCAGATAAAACACAAGATTGAAAAAAGTGTTAAAGAAAAAGCTACTATGTGTTGTTTGCAGCTATCGGAGTTTGGACTATTAATTGCGAAATATCTCTTAGTCATTTACATGTACATGTATATCCGTATAAAGAAGTACATGTAGGTACAAGAAAAAATGTTTTTGTATAAACTTATTAAATTGATATTATTTACAGCAACGTTTTAATTCAATATGTTTTGGAAAAATCCTGATATCTAAAATCTTCGAATTTCGATGACACCCGAATTTTCTTGCCAACGAGGACATACGCACCACTAATCATACTTAAAATATTTATCTGAAGAAATATTGAAAAATATTTTGCGATTGTAATTTTTGCGGATTTGTCCTATCCGCAAAATTCCGCAAAAATTGGACAACCGCAGAAAATACCCGTTATACGGTAGTGAAGGTGAATTATTTCTTTGAAAATCTTCTTCTCTACGCCTGGGTATTATTTAAACAAACTAAGTACATTGTTATGATACACAGAATGCTTCTTCCAAAATTGTGAATTTCATGGCTCCAGGGTCAAGGGTTCTGGTAAAAAGGGGGGGGGGGGGGCTCTATTGATTATATAGTGAAAAAGCAAAATTTCTTTGAAAATATTCTTTTCTGCTTCTGGTTAAAAAGCAAAGAAGCTAAGTGTATAGTTATGATGAGCAAGAGTGCTTCTTCCAGAGTAGTAAATTGCATGACCCCCTGGGTCAGATGTTCTGGTGTAAGGATGGGGCTCTTGATAATATAGTGTAAATGCATTAATAATAATTCTATTAATTAATCCTGTCTGCTCCTTAGTGTTAAGCAGATAAACAAAGTGATTACTTATGATGAGCAAACTTCAGGGTCAGAGGCTCTGGTGTTTCTCAGTGGGGGAGGGGGGGGGGGGGGGGGGGGGGCTCTATTGATAATATAGTGAATCTGTAGTAAAAATGCATTATTTCTTTAAAAATCTTCTCTGCACCTGGGCATATCAGAGGCAAAAGTTTTAATAAGGAAGGGTATTTTTACCAGATTTTTGAACATCTGGACCATTTGGTCAAGTGTTCTGGTCCTGCCAGGGCTCTATTAATTTGTATTCTACTGAGAGGAATTATTCCCCTTTGCCATTTACTTTTGATAATTAATCACTGTAAATAATGTACTTGAAAGGTAAATAGAATAAGAGAATTATGCAAGAATTTTTATTGTATAATACAAAAAGAATTTTCATAGTTTTAATGATCAGGAAGACTTGTAAGTAGTAGATAAATAAAAATGAGACAAAAATAACTTGTCTTATTACATGTTCATCAAATACCAGGAGATGCCAATGTATGAGATTTCAACAAGGAATTTTAATAGTACAGAAGCACTGATAGTTTGTTAATATACTGTATGGTGATAGTGATAAGTGGGGAACAGATTAGAACCTACATGTAATTTATGAACTGTTAATGAATACCAGACTAATTATTCTGTTGATCCTGATCACCCTATTTTTCCTGCTTTTTGGGCAACAAAGCTTCCTCTTTCAGTTCATTTTATACTCTATGGATCCTCTAAATTGTTGTATTATACTCAGGTGACCGTTAAGGCCCTTGGGCCTCTTGTTCAAGTTGAAAAAGAAAATTGAATTATTTTTCTTTTTACCCCATAACAACAGTATTTCATTAACAATTTTTTTTTTTTTGACAAATTTTGATGAGCATTATTTAAAGTTTGTTGAGTATGAAATCATATAACAGTACTTAAAAAAAAGAGGGTTTAGTAGGTATCATTATTTTTTAAACAAGAAATATATTTTTACTCTTTTTTCCTTTTAGATTTTACATCAGGTGCTCATATAACACAAACCAATGAACTGCGAACAGTGGAAAATCTTGGCACACTTGAGAATCTCTTTACTGAGCTAGAGGCAGAGGAGACTGAACCAGTACAATGTAAGATATTAATTGATATTTAACTTTTTTCTACTGTACTCTGATTAATCCAGAGAAATTTTTCAGATTTATATTCAATTGATGTTCTTTTGAAATGTGTGTCACTTTTCAAATGTAATTTATCTAATTTAACATGTTTAATTAACTGTGAGTTCATTTTGGCATTTTATGGGTTTATTTATCCTTTCCACACCAATCCTTGCCTTGTATAAGACTTTGAATCAGCAAACTTGGTCAGGCATGATAATGATGCTTGTATCAGGGGAAGGTTTCATGTGGGTTGTCGTGGTAGCTTGCAATTGGCAGTTTAATATGAACTCTGCAAAAATGGGCACACATAAAGTAGATTTATCCTGAAAATATTTGATTGTATATTATGCAAATGAGAAAAATATGTCTTAATACATGATGTTATAAATACTACTTTACCCACCAAATTTTTTAGCTCTCCTGAGCTGAAAGCTCAAGTGAGCTTTTCTGATCACCCGTTGTCCGTCGTCCGTCCATCTGTAAACTTTTTACATTTTCTACTTCTTCTCAAGAACCACGGGGCCAATTTTAACCAAACTTGGTTCAAAGCATCCTTGGGTGAAGAGGAGTTTAAATTGTTAAAATGAAGGGCCAAGCCCCCTTCCAAGGGGAGATAATCGAGAAAAGACAAAAATAGGGTGGGGTCATTAAAAAATCTTCTTCTCAAGGACCACTGGGCCAGAAAAGCTGAAACTTATGTGGAAGCATCCTGGGGTAATGTAGATTCTATATTATTAAATTCATGACCCCAGGGGTAAGGGCAGGGCCACAATAGGGAATCCAAGTTTTACATTGAAATATATAGGAACAATCTTTAAAAATCTTCTTCTCAAGCACCACTGGGCCGGAAAAGCTGAAACTTATGTGGAAGCATCCTGGGATAGTGTAGATTCTAAATTCTTAAAATCATGACCCCCAGGGATAGGGCAGGGCCACAATAGGGAACCCAAGTTTAACATTGAAATATGTAGAAAATATCTTTAAAAACTTCTACTCAAGAAATACTGGGCCAGAAAAGCTGAATCTTATGTGGAAGCATCCTGGGGAAGTGTAGATTCTAAATTGTTCAAATCATGACCCATGGGGGTAGGGCGGGGCTACAATAGGGAATCCAATTTTTACATTAAAATATATAGGAAAAAGCTTTAAAAATCTTCCTCTCAAGAACCACTGGGCCAGAAAAGCTGAAACTTATGTGGAAGCATTCTGGGATAGTGTAGATTCTTACTGTTTAAATCATGACCCCTGGGAGTAGGGCGGGGCCACAATAAGTACTACAATGGGAGAAATCATGTGAAAAAACAGCAATGCCAAAGTTACTCAGGTGAGCGTTCTGACCCTTGGGCCTCTTGTTTATAAAAAATACAATATAATACAGTTTTCAGCAGGGATTTCATAATTTAAGGTACTATGAAAGTGTAATTAAATGCATTGATTTTCAAGCTGTTTAATTACTGAAACTGTGCATATATTATATTCAGTGCATTTAATAATAAAAGATTATCTAAAGAAAACAAAGAATAAAAATACATATACAGTAAAACTTGTCTAATCTGGATACCACTGGTTCCATAGAAATTGGTCGGATTAGACAACATTTTAAACAATTGAATTTCCTGAGAGGACTTAAAGTTTATATCATACTAGTCAAGATTTCAAATTAAACAACATCTGAATTAGACAAGTTTCACTGTATATGTATATCAAATTAAATGTAACATTAAACTCAAAATGTATGTTTCTTCTTTTTCAGTACATGGTGATATAAATGAAGTCTTGTGCTCTGATTCAGAAGAGAGTATTGTCAATCAAACAGAAGTACCCTCAGGAAAAAATTCCACTGTATGTATATATTTCATATCATTTATCTTCAGAAAATGTAAAACATTTAGATTTAAATAGAATATGGTTGTTTACATGCTACATGTATAATATGTGAGCAAGAAGAGTTCTTGCAAGAAAGTATAATTCATTTGAAATCTTCCACTTTCAAAATTCAACAAAATTTTATTGCCTATCACATGAAGAAAATTTCAGATAATTGAAAAAGTTAGTGTCTAAAACATGTGCATTTTAGTTGAAAATACAAAAAAAAAAAAAAAAAAAAAAAAAAAATTGAGATTTTACTTGTATGTATGATCATATCATTTATTTAATGGAATTTTTTTTTGTAATAGAATATGAAAAGTTTAAATTGATTTACAGGAAAGTCTGCAGATAAAGAATATGGACCAATTAAGGGAACTAATTCAAAATGGAATTGTTGGCTTTGGATCTCACTTCCGAGTGAGGAGGCGACTAGGATTTTATGATTATTATCATCATTTTTTGACACTGGAGACAAACGACCAATCCATAACAGTTCTCCATCTGACAAAAACTGTACCATTATATATTTTCTGTGAAAAGGCCATAGTCAGTTTTTCCAATTTTAACAATACTTTTTTTGATTTCAAGTGCGGAGTTGAACTTATCCGTTGGTATTCCATTCCGAAAAATAAAACAGCCTTAGAGGAAATAAATCTAAGAATAGAAGAAGTGATCGCATTAGGTTACATAAATTATAGTCTCACCTCATCTGATAAAATGTATTGTGCTTCTTTAGTTTCTTACATTTTAACTGGTGAGAAAGATTACAAAGAAGTGCATGAGTTTGTGAGGCACTATGGGGTATTTGGCATTTTTCTTGTCTTACTTGTAAATTGTTTTTGCTCTCTAATATCTAATATAAGATGTCTTAAAAATTCAGTTTCAAAATTAAAACAAAAATTTACCTATATGTTTAAGGTAGTAAAGTCAAAGATGTTAGATAAGTTTTATTCTTTTTTTAGTTACCTTTGTTGCATTTTGGATTTGGCTGCTAGTTATTTAGAAAGATCAATTGAAAAGACTTTTAAAGAGAGAAAGAGAAGTAATAAGAAAGATGATAGCTAATAGGGATGGGTATTGCCAAAAATTTGATATTGCGATATATCACAATTTTTTCCTCAAAATATCACAATAATGTAATGACATTTTTACACATCAATTTTTTCTATGATATTTTAAATGAATATCCATAATTTTTCTTACAAGTATGTTGGGAAAAACATAACGTCACTTTTTTTCTTTTTTTTGACATAATATAAAGCATGTTTAGATGCTATAATGCCATTCTCTCATTTTATTCATTTTTTTAACTTCCTGTAATTGTAATTTGAAAGTTTGAACAAATAGATAATTTATGAAATTTATGATTATGTACCTAAATATGGGTATTTTAGTTTTTGTATTATGATACATATTGTGCAATTAAAAATGACAGTATACCAATAAAATCATGCATCCCTTATAGGTAAGATACTAAATAAGGATAAATTTAAAGGTTCAGTTGAACTTTGGTTATCTTGAACACCGATATCTCGAATACCATGGATATGTCAAAGTAATTTGGAAATCTCACCACTTCTTCTCTAAGTATATCGCTTTCGATATCTTCAATCTTTGGATAAGTTTTTTTTCTTGGTCCCATCAAGTTTGATAAAACGATGTTTGACTGTTTATGAAAATTTATTGAATTAAGACATAAATGCATATTTACATGGATAAGATATTTTGCAAAGGGTATGACCCTTATATGAAGTACATGTAACTAAAATGTCCTTTTACTTTGTGTAAATAAATTGTTTGGGGGCTCATGTTTATCAGAAAATAGTTAAATGTCTCATGAATTATGTAAACTACATGTACACTAAGTCCTGTAAAACAACTTTGCTAAAGATTTCATGAAAATGTATTTGCTTTTCATACAGTTTAATTTTCTTTTTTCTTTCTTTTTTTTTTTTAATAATTTTTTTTATCTTAAATTGTTTGCATAATTTATTTAGCCATCATGAACAATCTTATCTTAATCATGTTATTGAACTTTATTTCATTTGAAGTTTAGTGATGACAGTGTTTCCATGACACATTTTAGATTTTTATGTTAAACACTTTTTTTTAACTGACACAGTAACCTAAACTTTGAAACATCAACCATTGAAAGTAAGTAGTGTGTGTATAAGTTCAAACTTTAAAGTTGATATTTTCATTAACTGTACAATTAAGAAATAAGGTATCATTTTTAAACATCTATCGGGATATAAATACAGGTTGGTCACAAGATCAAATTCCATAAAGCCCGAAGGGCTTTATGGTAAATTTGATCTTGTACCAACCCATATTTATATCCCGATAGATGTTTTAAAATGATACCTTATTACTTGTATTTACATTTGTGACTTATTCATATTATATTTTAGCCTGATTATAACCTTTAACGTGTGAAATGTTTTATTTTTTCAAACTCAACGGCACAAGTTTGATCTGTTGATTGCGCGTCGACATTTTATGACGTCACTGAGAAATTATGTCGAACGTTTATGACGCGAGGAATCGGTGTTTATACAGATATAGATACGCATTGCTTTTAATAGTGTTATATAAAAGAAAACATTTGCAAATGTAAATATATGTATATAACTATACTAGAAGCATCATGATATACATGTATATTCGTGAAATATATTTGAAAATGTATTTATTTTGCAAGTTAATACAATGTACAGTTCACTGTGATGTATATTATATACAGTGTATGTAAGATGTGGGTAGCTCCCCAGCAGAGAAGACATCATCATACATTAATATTTGATTATTGTACATTATATTGAAATCATTCCAATTAAGATGGTCTACTTACACTACAGTACTCTTGTATTGAATGTAAAATGTTCCAGGTAATTGTAATTTTTATTTTAAATGTAAACATATTCATACATGTACATGTATCTATCTAGGCTAACTTTATTTTTGACTTAAATACTTTTAAGAGTTTTAATTCTATTTGAATATTAATATAGATTTTATAACAATATAAAATGTGCAATATTCTGTTTATAGTAATATTCATTCATAAATCAAGAGTATGTTATACTTTTCTTGATCAGTGGGCTTTTGTACACATATGTACATGTAATATGTTGTCTTTACTCAGAATCATGAAAGTATGAAATCTGTGTGTTCCTGTATTATTTTTTTTCTAAATGGTATTATAACTTTAAAAGGAATTATTGATCTGCGATATCATTGCCAGTTATTGTATACAAAGAGTTAGTACAAAAATTTGTGTTAGATAGGGCTATTAGGGGTATAAAGCCAAGAGTCTTTGATCTGTTTTATTTTTTCCAGTACAATGTATTTTTGTGTCTATTTTTACAGAGTATGTGCCGTTATAGAATTTTATATTTATAAAAAGTATACTGTAACATTATTTTTTTAATTCTTTTATGAGTCAAAGTGCTATTGTAGTCCTTTTAAATTATTTGGGAGCAAATGGCCAATCTGTCTCCAACATTTTCTTGCTTCAAGGGTTGTCATATGAATTAATTTATACCAATATTTTTTTTTTCATTTTGGGGGAGGGGGGGTGAGGGGGGGGGTCATAATTTATTATCATTAAGCACAGTGTATGTTTGTCTGCATATTGCTGAAATTATGAAGGTTTGGTTTTAACAACTGTTCAATGTTCATGTGCCATTACGTTTTTTGGCTTTTATCTTCAATTGTCTTGGCATTTGTAGTAAAGGTTCTAATTTTAATGTTAATTATTTTTGAAAGGAAATATTTTGTAATTCTAAATGAAGTTTTTTAATTTCTTTAAAGTAGGTTACGTGTGCCTCAATATAATGATCATAATTTCACTCCAAAGAAAAGTTGGACATAGTTATGTGCATGTATAATGTACATGAATACTTTATACATGCACATAATTATGTACAACTTTTCTTCAGAGTGAAATTATATTAATCATTATATTGAGGCACATGTAACCTATGTTACATGAATACTTAAGAAATATAAAGTTAAACATACTTTCAAGGCAGCTAAAAGATACACAAAGTTAAGCATAAGCACTAAAGAACAGTCATTCTGTAATATTTTGCAATAGATTAGAAGAAAAGTGTCAAGATTACAATTTACATGTAACGGTATGAATAGCTGTTTCTTTGCTTTCAATAAAAACAGGGATTTTAATTTGTGTTTGTCCATCATTCTGTCCTTTAAAAAACATAATTGTTTGGAGCATCATCCTGATGATTTCGAAAAAATTCTTCAATTTTTGCATTGAATTTTTTTTATATCTCTCTGTGACTTATGGAATTGATTTTGAGGTCAAAAGGGCAAAGTCAGAAAGGGCAAGGTCAGAAATTTATCGACATGTATTGCATAAAATGACTTCCAGAAGATATCTTTAGTCCTTTTTGAGCTTTTATAAAGAGATTTCTCAAGTGATGACATTTTTGTCCTCAAGTGGGGAACTTAAATTCCCTAATTTATCTCTTTTTTCTTTTTGTTATATTGTTTGTTTGATTCAAAGAGAATAATGATGTCAAATAACCTGAAGTTTTACAACAACTAATTAAACCTTGTATTTGAGGGACAAATTAGATTTAAGCTCAAATTGTTTGAATTGTATAAAATGATTTATAACCTTCTAGAAACAAAGTTGAGGATGTGCTTGTCTAATGCTAATACTGTGAATAAAACCTTAAGAAAACCTTTTCACCTTTCAGTGTTTTCTTGCTAAATGCAAATATGTCTGGTGGCAAGAGGTGGAAGCCTATTGAGTCTATAATTTTTTATCGCTTGTGAGTAGTGGTTCCATCTTAATTTGCTAAAGCAATGATTTCATTTACACACTGAATTGTCTACGGATTTTACCGTTTGCCCGATCATCAAAAAAAAAAGTGACGGGTGTGACCAGACAACAGGGGATGTTTACTTCAGTTCCTGTCAGATTAACAATATCTATTTGCCATGGGTACCAATTGCGCCCCGTTGTTAGCAGACCTTTTTTTGCATTCATATGAAGCAGAATTTATTCAAAGTCCATTAAAACGATACAAATCAGGAGCAGAGCAAACAAGGATCTCCAAAAACACCAGAAATGGGATCAGGTGCCATGGAGGAGTGAGCAACCCCTGCCGACAGGTCACACCCGCTATGTGCTCCTTGTCATGATCGGTAAATAACGGAACAGTGTGTAAATAATAAATAATTGTTTAACAATTATAGCATGAAAAACGTCAGTCAGCATATGACTTAATGATAGTTTGTATTTGCTGACAAGGTCATTTTATAGACCATAGAACTTACGAAATGATGACTTTAAACGAGACTATTGATATTCTTGTTTCATTAATTTGTTTGTCAATAACTTACCTCGTTTTTAAAATTGTTCATACGTACAGGTAGAGCATGCTCTTGCGTATCGAATCAACTGAGAGATATACGCCCCATATGCAGGTGATAAGGGTCATAAGGGTATATTGCTGCATAAGTAAGGGAAGTTAACAATTGAAAAGTTAAAGTCACCACGTTTATCATAAAGCTTGGTCGTTAGATTACCATTAACGTCCTTTTCTAGTAATATATCCAAATATGAAACAGATGTGTCTGACTCTGTGGTATCTTTCATCTCAAGCTCACTGGGATATATCGTGTGGACATATGAATGGAAATAATTATTGTTAATTGATAATACGTCATCGATATATCTAAATCTCGAGTTGAAGGCTAAAACAAGAGATTTTTTTTCTCATGTACAAGATTTTGAATAAATAATGCTTCATATGAATGCTAACAACAGGGCACAATTAATACCCATGGGAATCCTGATGTCACAATGCTACTGAAGTCCCACGGGAATTCCAACAGATCGTTGGAAGACCAGGCCCCAAGACCATAAACTGAGAATAGACTTAAGTCCAAATTTTGATTTTTAATATCTTGAGTTTTATTTAATGTATTTGCTTAAAAATTTGCAATTTTACATAACATTTAAATTCAAATATATGATAAAAATTTTGTTTCATTATCAAAATTATTTCAAAAGTTATATTGGTTTAAAATTTTGACTTAAGTCTGTTCTCAGTTTATGGTCTTGGGGCCTGGTATCCAAAAACCAAATAGATATTGTCAATCAGAAACACAAGCATCTTTTCAATATCATTTTTAGAGTACTTGTGTGTTCAATAAAATTGTTTTTAACAAAATAATTTTGCAAATGACCAATGACAAGGTAAGTAAATTTACGAGTTCC